ATTGTTTTTGGGCTTCCTGTTGACTGCATACGCCTCGTTTTTGTTGTATGGAGAGGTGTCCTTGACGATTCGCATTGTCCTCTCAGCACACCTCCAGAGCTGGCAAAAGGTCTCGACTTCAAAGTTTTCAATGCCGATCCTGTAGGTAGGGCACATGCTTTGTACGCATTGTTCGACAAAACTTCTCTCAGTGGTGTGTTCGTCGAAGACGGAATGTGTAAGTTTTTTGAACCTCATGACGTATGCCAGAAGATCCTCCCTTGGTCCTTGCTCTACGTTCTGTAGATCGGCCATTGTTAACTTTCTTTCCAGGGTGAACCACTTCCATAAGAACTTCTTGGCTAGTTCACCCCACGAATCGATGCTTCCCGAGGTGAGACTCACAAACCATGTGTACATCGGGCCAGTCAATGACTTAGAGAATTCTCATACTTTGAGATCCCCGTCGAGAGCAAAGGAACCAAGGATGTCCTCGAACTTGCTGATGTGCTCCTACGGGCTGCCTCTCTACCTGTCATATTGTGGCCACTGTAAAGGAGGGGTGTACCCGACAGGGTAGGGCTTGTACAAGATATGGTTAGAGTAAGGCTTTTGCAGGACGATTGAATCCTAGGCCCGATTGCGGCTTTCAACGACTAGCCCTTGGACGTATTCCCTCAGTTCATTCCAACTGAGAGGGGCTTTTGTTGTCGGGTCGGTGCAGGGAAAATCATGAGATTGGTGGGTGGGGACGGTGGTCTATTTGGATCGGGGTTGGGTTGGCTCTAATAGGCTGCTTGGGCATGGCGGAGGTTTGGTTGGAAGCGTGGCAGCTGGGGTTGGGATTGGTGTTGGGGACGCTGGGAAGAGTTGCGACAGGGGTTTATTCAACTTGGGTCGAATAGTTGAGTAGAATCTGGAGGGTACTTCTCGTCTCCTGCATTTGTTCTAGCCTCCTGAATCTGATTTCGAAAAGTGCTCAAACTCAAAAACTTTGTTCGACAGTATCTCAATGTTCGCTTGGATAGGTGTTTCCATCTCCGGTTGGTTCTCTGCTCTCAGATTGGTGTTCTTCGGGACGTTGTTCTGTTCTTCAGGGATGGTGGTGAGGTTGATTCTTCTTGAAGCCATTCTCTGTGATCAAAGGACAAACTAGAGATTCTATTGTAGGTTAGGTAAGACTTGGGTGGAAGCGGTCACTTTGAAAGACAGAGAGAAGTCGGTGAGTGGGGAGATAGGCCTTTTGGGGCTAAGGATGCTAGGGTAGGGAGTTAAAGCAAAAGAGTGCTCGGGTGCTGGATGCAGAATGTTGAGTGAGTCCCAATATGAGGAGGATCTCTATTTATGGGGGAGATCCCGAAATCCTAAAAGGTAGGAGATAAGGGTATTTGTGACGTATTGGGAAAGAGAATATTGGATTTTGCTATCAATCATTAAGTGCGCCACTAGGGTTTTGCCACGTGTCTCATGAGGATTTTCCCCAAGGATCGACTTTCCTTCTCCTCAAGATCCCTCATTACTCACGTGTGCTACTACCTCTCATGCACTTTATTTTAATTGACGTGGCGTTTAACAACATCACCACTTGGAGGGCGGCATCTTATTAACCCTACGTGGCATCTCGCCACGTCTTTTAATGGTGTAGGTTCCACGTGGCTATGGGCACGCACAGGCCTCACCATGGGCTTGACCCGGGCTTCTCTTGGTTTGGGTCGCGAGTGGGCTTGTAAGTCGTGGGTTCATCGCGCGTTTAGGAAATCGTTAGTTTATCACACATTCCAATAAGTGTGGAGCTCTGTCCTGGGTTCGGTCGTGGTTCCCTTTGGTTCAGGCACCGAGTAGGATCAGTGAATTGCGGATTTTGTGGTACGCACTGTTAGTTCATCACAGAGCTTGTGGTGCATTGCGGGTTCATCGCAATAGAAAGGTTGTCTATGAGTTGCTCGCATACAACCTTGTGGTGTTAGTTTCACCGATGTTCTCTGAGGGTCTGAGGAAACACTGTATACCTACATATGTGATGTATAACTTTTAGTTATTAATGAAAATTTCTAGTTATTGATAAAAAAAAAAGAAAACAAACATATCTAACCTTACTGGTGGATTTGAGCACCATTCTTGAACATCAACTCAGATTTCGCTTTCTGGGCAACTTGTTGAGCCACAATATTACAAGTTTTACAACCATCTTTGGCTTGTTTATTGAAGAGTTGATGAGTGTTCGCAGATTACCACGCTTTCATAGAATTTATTCTAGTGAATCTTGTGATTCTAAGAAACGTTTTCAATTTTGAATGTACGGAAATAGTTGGAATTAATTTTTATTTTGATCAAAACTCATTCTATGATTTAAATCTTTATAGTTAAAAAACTTACCTTTGTAAAAGAATCAATTTTGGCTTGAAGTTCATTCAAATAATGATTCATTGGAACTAAATTATAACTGAGCTTATAAAGTATCTAGGAATAGGGGTCAATACCTAGGGAAACACATATACCAGATAAGATATGCAATAATAGTGTGGTTGCATTAGTATGATCCTTCTAGCCTTCTTGTGAGTTAACTCGACCATTAGCAAGTCAATTCAAACTTGGCAACTCAGACCAAGGCTATGTCTATTAATTCCTCAAGGCCACATTTGGTTTTCAAAAAGATTTTGATAGGATGAGAAAATGAAAATGAATGTGAAATTTTTATGTTTCATTGTTTGATTGCAAAAGAGAAAACAGTGGGAACATCAGCTCCAATAACAAAGGTGTGATTCATCATGAAGCCACTTCTCTACAAAAAACTGTTGACTCAATCAATGATCTAGTGATTGGTTGGTTGAGCCATTCAATTATTTGACACATTAGTAAGTCACAAGTCAATTATTAATTCATATTTTCTATTTGTTTTGTATCTCATTTTCATCATCAATATGCTCCATTTTTTATAAGATTTTCTATAAATTTTGTATTTTTATCTATTTTTGTATTTTATTACTTATGTCATCATAGGTTGACCCGTTCGACCCAAGGTTCAAAGTATCATTATGTATCAGCCCGTATCGGCCGATACTTATCGTTCTGGGACCCTTTTGATATGCCCCTACAGTGTGTATTGGAAGTCTGACCGGTTCAGGGGATGGAGGGGTCCTAGACCGGCTCCCCTGAACCAGTTTTGAAAAAAATAATAATAAAAAAGTAAAAAAACAAGTATCGAAACGCCTGACACGCCCCTATCAGCGTATCGGGCGTATCGATATTTTGAACCTTGGTTCGACCCAATTGGTGGAACGAATGAACCATTTGACCTATTTAGTGGGTAATGGGTCAAATGTTAAAATTTTACTACTTTCCTTTGTATTTCTTTTCCAATTTCATAATTGATAAAAATTAAACTTAGTTTTATTCAATATGATGAACATATAATAGTATTATTATAGATACTCAACTTTCTTAAGAATTCTTATATTTTCTACAAATGTTTATGTATTATCTATTAATTGTATTTGTATTACTTGATTATGACATCACAGATTGACCCATATGACCCAATTGATTGAACCACCCAACCGATCCAACCAATGGGTCACATGTAAAAAATTAATACTTTTTTTGCATTTTAACCTTTTGTCGTGATTAATAAAAAATAATTCTTATATATGGCACTTATTTTTTCCTAATATAATGAATATATAATATTAGAGATCTGACATTTTTCTCAAATTTTCTATATTTTCCTATATTTTTTTATTTTATATATTTATAATATTTTTATTATTTAATTATGACATCATTCATTAATCCATTTGACCTAAATGATTGAACCACTAACCCATCATTTAAACCAAGAAGTGGTCCTATTCTGGGTTAGTTACACCAAAATGGTGTGGCTCCACTGCCCAATAATTGAGAATTCTAATCCCATCTTGTTCCCATCCTTTCTCATTACATCCTGTTACCCAAACATAGGAATGAAAAACAATCATCTAAGCCTGAAAAACAATCATCATCTAAGCCTTATACAAACCGCATGAGGTTGGTTACATGAATTTATTCCACCATTCTGATTTGTTCCAATAAAAGAAATACATAATCCATGACGATGAGAGTTTGGTAAAAGTTTTTTTGCCAATTATCAACGGGATGAAACCCTTCTTTCTCAATTTTCTGTTACTATCTTATTTACCATCAAACAAAACATAATCCCAGAAGACTTGTAATGTTTGCCATGGCAACGGCCAACATGGCCACCTAATCGGTTAGCCCATGCAATCAACAAAGGGCTAACAACCATCACATTACATCCCTATGATCCTATAAGTGCTTTAAATTAATGTTTTCAACCAACCATTGATTCAGCCCTTTGAACCGTTCGAACCATCACTAGGCCTTGATTCCGGTTCCAATTCTGCTAAAACCCACAGTTTAGTAAAAAATAATTGACTTGGTAAAAAACTGTCCAACTTGGGTGGTTCTCAACCATTGACCTAGTCACCAGGTCTGTAAGCTACACTCCCAATGTATGTGCAAACTTTTAGAGGCCAACTTTGCACTCTAATGTCCAATTGGGATGACCTTTCTTTTTATTTTATTTTTTTATTTTGGGGAGTTTTTCGAGATTTATTCATCCCAAAAACAATGAGCTATAGGCGCTTTGCCCCACTATTTTGCCAAAAAAAACCCCTCTTTTGGCCTCAAATTGTAATTTTTTATATCTTTTATAAATAAAAAAATTAAAAGTTGAATTTAAAAACATAAACTAAATATGAAATAATACATATATTACATGTAGAACATAATTATATATTATTTATTGATAAAATACATATTTATACACACACATATATATATATATATATATTAATTTACATATTGCTGATGTAACAGTCTAACCCATTCGATCTGAACAGTTGAACCGGTGACCCACAACCTGGAGACAAAAACAGTTTGGCCTCTAAGTAGATTTTTAAAATTTGATTTAAATAAGTATCCAACTAAGAATCTCGACTAAGTCAAATAACAGAACATAGCCATTAGAAAAAGACGATGCATATATTGCTAGAACCTGGAAATAGAAGCTCAGCAAAGCTCAACAAGCAAGGAAAAACTGAAGGCGGAATAAGATACAAATTCAAAATTTCATTCCTTAACAAAATTTGATAGCTAAATAAATTTAAAAATTAAAAAAATCATCTTAATTAATACAAACTTTGTCGGTCAAAAGAGATTAGTAAGTCGGGATAGAGGCATCTGTCTTAACAGCATAGGCATGAATTCCTCCAGCCACATTGAATACCCTCTTGAAGCCCTGCAAAGAGAAATTTGTCAGTCAAATACTTCAAGCATGGACTGTGCAGATAACTACCCTTCGCTCAGTACATGAATGTTTACACCATTTAGGCTGCGTTTGGAAACAATGCAAATAGTGTAAATTCCAGTTCAGGGTAAATTTGCAGTCTGGTTCACTTTTTCCTGTATTTGGCAACATTATATTTAAGCATTGACAAATGACAGACCAATGCATATTTACATTGATAATAAGATGTAAAAGTACATCAAGTAAATTTGCATTCAAGTGGGTTTTTGATTAAAAAAGGCATATGCTTTATTGGAATTCATGTTTGCATCCATTACAGCTAAAAGTCTGTTTGGTAAGAAGGTAAAATTGTCAATGCAAAACTAACCCAACTTTGCAATTTATATGGACTATTTTACACTATACATATTTGCATTCACACTTGCATCGTTTCCAAACACAGCCTTAAGGTTTGAACTAAACATTACAAGACTGATATAGTACAAGATCAGTGAAGCTTCTCAATTATGTTCATTTTCATAGGTAAAAAAACGTTGCCATTTCTGAAGTTCATATGAAGCTACACAAACTCCCTAGACTCCCGCCATACTGGCCTTTAGTGTGTTGACCTGTTCATAGGCTGGGCTTCAGGATCAGGTTTACACTGTTTTGGGCTGGGCTTCAAATTTTGACAAAAGCCAAGCCTAAGCCCAGCCCATGAACAGGTCTCAATACCAATTATATGTTACACAATGAAAAATACTATACCAAATAAGATCCTAAAAATGACTCGTCACTTCTAGTGATACTAGAAAATTTAACAGTACTTTTTCAGATATACTTCATTTTACCTCCATGGTTATCCAAGATTTCATCCAGATGCCACTTCGTTTTTTTCTTTTTGTTGAAAAAGGGATTATTTCATTAATCAACTGGATTCAGCCATTGTGCAATTACAAAACCAAGAGGGCCACAGCTGGGCCAAGCTTCAAAAATGTTGTAGAACAGCACATCTCTTTGAAAGTCAGATTATTATTTCCATGTAAGCTTACAATGCAAACTCCGTAGGCTTTTTAATCAGAGTAAAAAGCTTTGGGAATATATATACATAACTTCTAATATACAACTTCCAATCTATTTGGAAACTTAAATGAAAAAAAATATTGACTTTGAGCATTTAACTTTGATACTTCTCCAGCAGAAAAAATTTAAGGCATGCTAAAGTGACAGCAATGTATAGCCTCCATGCATGGTAACAATTAGAAGACATACACGGTTGGACCAAGAATGACAACAGGCAGCCTAGTCTGACTTTAGAACCATGTTAGGCTGGGCTAATAAATCACAACTTTACTGTGTCTTTCTGAATAAAAAGCTATATATTCCACTGAATATTACAGACACTTAGGAACAATAACAAGGGGTTGTAATTTATAGCAACACCTGTTCAATTTCCATTAATCCATTCTCACCCAACCCAGGTGATTAAAAAAAGAAAAACATCAACCTTCTTATTTTGGGAACCAACAATATCAGTGACAGTCATAGGTACCAAGGAGAAAAGGACTTACGGACATGTACAGCCATATAGAAGAGTTGTGTGCTGATATTAAACAAAACGCAAAAATCAAAGATGAACGGTTTACCTGTGTCTGCAACCACTTGGCAACCTGTAGCGACCGCACTCCATGGTGACACTGCAATTAAAAACAAATACCATCAACTATATTAACTGATAATAAAAACTCCTTTGCATAACAGAGCATATGTTATTTATTAGAGTCTGGATACACATCGATGGGTCCCAGTTTTCCCAACTATGCTAGAATAAACAAGCATATTTAGATAAAGGACCCCTACCAACAAATCTTGATTGAATCCAGATTTTGCCATCAGAACAAGTTGATTTTGAGATATGGTACTTCTTAGTATTATCCATCAAATAATTTGCCCCAAGTTGCAAAATGACCAAATTGACCATTTAAGCCAATGACTTCCATCTAAAATATTATATTAAAATTGAATATTATTAAGAAATAAAGTTAAAGTATCACCAAAATGTTGACATTGCAATTTCTTAGGTGACCAACTGGGTGGGTAGTATACAAACGTGTGTAACCGAGTTTTGGTCAGTAGGAGCACATAGAGCCGAAGATTAGGGTGCTTAATCTGCGCCGAATGGGCCCTAATGATTTATTTTTATTTAGTAATGTTCTCTTATATTGTTTAGTTGTTAATAGGCCTAATTCTGTGTTAGACAATTATGCTCTTAGCCCCAATCAGATTGATGTATCTTTTGACATTTATTGTAAATAAATAAAGTACATAATTGATTAATGTCATTGAGGTGTGTTTCTGTGTAATACCTTTAAACTGGACACTTGTGAAACTCGTGTTAGTTTAGAATCTTCACAACAGTTAGATCTGGGGAGATTTATCCTACCAAGGCTAACACTGATGTGCCACCAAGTTGGTTGGAGTGGCTTGTCTCAGCTGTTAGGGTGAGACCTAAGGTACATGCAGTGTGAGTTTTCCTGAAACCCTGAACCGGACCAAATTCCAGTATTTCCCTGGACCTTGGAGATAGATGGGCAAAACTAGAATGTTACACCTGACCCCTAAACTCGATTATGGTACTGCACTATGTGTCGGATTAGGCTGTCTTTGATATGCCAATCGGTGAGATCCTTAGAGGTGGTCAAAACCTGGGTATGTTGGAGCAATTTGAGAGTTCACCTGAGTGGGTGATTATAATGATAGAATCAGCCCCTTTGTCGAACAAAGTGAATGATCGGGTAATGCACTCTCTCTGATGGAAACCTAAACTACCGGCAGTTGATTTCAAACGTTGAAATTTGTTTTTGCAAAATATATTTATATAGAGATATACATATGTATATTATGGTTTCAAAATGTTTGCAAAAGGTTTTAATTCACGGGATCCATGTGAGTAGAGAGTGCAACACTGTACCTTGCAGCCGAGGGAGAGGTCCTCTCTTGTCGGGCAGTGTTTGATCATTATGGGCTGAGAGGTTAAGTGTAAGACCATTGAGGGTAATACCTAATGGGCTAATCTTGCATTTGTCCACAGTTCTTGGGTTTTCATAAGGTGGTTGAATCCAAGAACCATTTAGTGTAAATGTTGGGCCCATTAAGAGCCCATGGTGATGGACTCAGGGGTTCACCGTCTCCTACAATGAATTCGGCCAAGCCTTGTAACAAAAGCTGGGCTGAACCCATGTGGCTGATGTGCAAATCAATGTTAGGGTCCCACGCCGTACAAAGAGAGCCAACTTGGCAGCAGGTTAAAGAGTAAGTGAGCACATAAGCTTAATAGGCCTAAGGCCTAATTCGAACTGGGCTTATGTTAGTTAATTAAAAGGGGGTGAATTTAGTTTTAAACTGATTAGGATTAGCTGAAGGATAAGATAAGTCTTATCCATTTAAGAGTCCAGATCCAACTATAAGATTGGGATTAGGAAACTCCCTCCTAATTAGATTAGGAGGCTGATCCAGAGAAGGCTATAAATAGGGGGCGAATTCTTTAGATTTTACACAACAGCAAATTGCAGAATTCTTCCTAGTTATTGCCGCCCCTACCCAGTTCGATCTCCACTTGTGGATCCGATCAAGAAGAGTTCTTGATATTGTTTCTTGGTAGAAGAAGCAATCTGAAGTGGTGCTCATCAGCCCCCAGCCCTTGCTTGATTCTTGTTGAAGAATTCAGGTTCTTGCTGAAGAACCATCCTGCTGATCCTACTTCATTACACATTGTGTCATATTTAGTGGAAATGGGTTTTGGTCTTCTCTTTGGGCGTGAACACCTATGTTGGGAGTTACTGTTACTTTGTATCAGATATATCCCTCACTTCTCTTTTGGTTTCAGATCTAGTCCAGTTTTGGATTCAAGAACGAACATTGAAAATACGGTTTTCTAAATTAGGGAATACGATTCCCGGATGGGAAAGAGCAATTTTTTGAAATTTCGCCCAACCTTCCTGTAGGGTTCAGTCATCCATTCGATGGATCTCCCATCCCTTCATTCTGATGGGCTTGTTAACCATTTTTTTTAATTTCTTTTAAGTGATGAACTGGCCACCCACTTGAGGGAAAATCTATAATTAGTCTTGATTAAACAAGTTTAATAAAAGATTGGAGAGATAGGTAAGAGAACTTTCTCCTCCCTTTCTTTTCCATCTTCTCTCTACTGTTTTCTTCTCTTTTCTCTTTCCTTTTTCCTGCTGAAAGTTGAGAATTATTTACAAATTTATTGATCTGAATCGCATCTTAGTATCAGAGCACCTCTTCCTTTCTTCCACCTTTCTTTCCTTTTTTTCCATGCACCCTTCGATTAGAAGAGTATGGAGAGATGAGTTGCTGATTGTTCAAAGAACTTTTGTGCCTAGTTGGTAGAGGGTTTGGAGAGAGAGTCTGGCTATAGATTGCTAAGAAAGTGAGGTTGCTGCTTTTTTGCCCAAAACCCTAGCCGACTAGAGAGTTTATAGTTACATTATCTGTGGATGACTTCAGCTAAGGGGAGAAGAGTGTGGCTATCTACTATTCGATGTTGAAGTCACTATGGCATGAGATAGATGTTATGGAAGCATTTGTATGGGAAAACACAAAAAATGTAGAAACTTTTAGGAAATTTGTGGAAAGAAACAAGGTGTTTGAGTTCCTTACAGGACTCAATCCTGAATTTGATATTACAAGGCAGAATATCCTGGCCAAAGATGAAGTGTTACATTCTCAGGCATACTCTATGGTGAGCAGTGAAGAGAGCAGGCGACAGGTATAGCTATAGACCCCACCTCCTCCAAAACATTTTGCACATGCAGGAATAAAACCAAAGGGGCTAAATGAAAAAAAGGAGGTGATATGTGAATGCTGCAAGAAGCCTTAACATACTAAGGATTATTGTTGGAAGCTTCATCTAGATCTTTTTCCTGAGAGGTTTCGGAACAACAACTTTAAGAAGGGTGGTTAGTCTGGAAAGCCCAAGAATGCAAATGTTGCTACAATATCTGAATGTGAAGAAAACTTTGCTGTGGAACAGCTGGCAGCAGTGAAGGTAGAATTTAAGAGATATGGGAAGTTGATAAACCACTTGGAGTCTAATATTGCATCTTCCTCCTCAGGCACCCCCTCTACATCTGCTTTTGCCCATTCAGGTATTCATGTTTCTACAAATCATGCTACAACCTCAGATAATCGTAGAATTCTTTGAATCATAGATTCTGGTGCATCATACCTTATGACTAGCATACCCAACCTTTTTTGTTCATACCAGCTCCTCTCGGGTAGAGAGAAGATTTCTCTTGCCAATGGGTCTCTTGTTCCCATCTCTGGCAAGGGGAATATTAAAGCCTCTAACTCACTTGTATTATCCTCTGTCCTTCATGTTCCCAAACTTAGCACTAACCTTTTATCTATTAGTAGTTTAACAAAATCAATGAATTACAGCATAACCTTCTTTCCTACTTATTGTGTTTTTCAGGACCTGAAGTCTCAGAGGACGATTGAGAGTGGCCATGAGGCGAATGGGATATACTTGTTGGATGTCTCTGATCAAAGTCCTGGATTACCTAGTGGAGTAGCTTTAGAGTTTGTTTTATCAGAGTCAGTTAATAGAGTCTTGATATGTCATTTCAGATTTGGTCATTTGTCTTTTTCAGCTTTGAGTCATTTGTTTCCAGAAATGTTTAAGGGAATATCCCTATCGAGTCATCATTATGAGTCATGTGAACTTGCAAAACATTGTAGACAATCTTTTTCAGTGAGTAATAAAAGATTTGTTTCTCCTTTCCATATTGTGCACTCTGATGTGTGGGGGCCATATCATTTACCTGCTATGGGGGGTTACAACTATTTCATTCTTTTCATTAATGATTTCTCTCGTTACACCTGGATATACCTTATGAAATCCTGAGATGAAGTACCAAATATTGTACAAAAATTTCATGAACTTATACTTACCCAATTTAACACTCGGATCAAAATATTCTGATTTGATAATGCAAAGGAATATTTTGAGAAGAGTCTTTCCTCCTATTTTGATACCTTCGGAGTTATCCATTAGAGTTCCTGTTCCTACACTCCTCAACAAAATGGAGTGGCGGAAAGGAAGAACAGACATGTGGTTGAGATTGCGAGGAGCCACCTTTTTGCTTCCCATGTTCCTATTAAGTTTTGGGGTGATGTTGTCCTTTCTACATACTTGATAAACCAAATGCCTTCTCGGGTTTTGGGGTTTAAAACTACCTTTAGCTTGCTTTTCCCAAATGAGGATCTCTTCTCTTCCTCTCAAGGTGTTTGGGTGCACTTGCTATGTCCATGTTCACAGTCATCAAAGACAAGTTTGAGCCTAAAGCACACAAGTGTCTTTTTGGGATATGCCTCCACACAAAAGGGGTACTGCTGTTTTGATCCGGTTCGTGGCACTCGCTTTGTTTCTAGAGATGTCACATTTGCAGAGTGTGTTCCTTTCTTTGGTACTTCTCTTGAAGAGGGGCATTAAGAGGAATTGTTTGCACTTTCACCATCTGTTCTTCTTCCAATTCCCATTGAATCTTTTATAGAGTCTCCTCCAGTCGAGTCATCTATCCTTTCTCCCCCTCCTACTGCTGACCCCCCTACTTTTTCTTCCCATCCTATTATCCAGAGGTGGTACTAGAGACAGAGACTCGGAGACATGCAA